ATACAATAATCGCCGAACACCTTCGAAGCCATCCGAAACACATCCGTCCGCCTTCCTCACAACCCGCTCACGCGCCTGCCTCGTCCTTGTAATTATTTCCCCTCCCCACACGGGCCTCCGAAAGCATGTCCTTTATCCCTGCATTTGATGCTCTGGGGAGTGGAGGCGAGGTGAATGGAGCGATTGGGCGCGAATTCAGGGGGGGGGGCGATACGGGGGGGGGGAGAAAGGTACCCTGTTCGGGCTCTAGAGGCCCCCTTTGGGGCCCCAAGGGGCCCCTTCAGGAGCCCTTTAAGGGCCCCTTTTCTGCAGCCCTCGCTTCCCCCCCCCCCCCCCCTTGTCGCCCTCCCATGTATCGCGGCCCAAAGCGCGGCACAAAACCCGCGCCGGCTGCTCGGGAAGACAAGCCCCTGGTGGCCCACGCCGAGGTGTGGCCACGGTGCGTCCTGACACGGCTGCGTCTCTACAGCGGCCTAGCAGCAAGAGGCCAAAAAATCACGATAATGCCTTCTTCTTGGAAAACGAGTTCCGTTCAAGTGCGGCGGCATCTCTCCCTCCGCGGTCGCCAGAAAAACCCGAACGAAGCCTGCTGTATGCACCGCTGGAGGAAGGAGGCGAGAAAGAATACTTCGGGAGCACCACCATCAGTCAGGAGGCAGAGGAGGGCCCTCGCTGTGGTGCCGCTGTTTTCCGGTGTCCAATCTCCAGCCAGGGAGCGGGCATCGTGACCCCCTCTTGGGGGGAAGGGTAGTGTGCTGCATCTCTCGATGATCATCAGAACGTGTGCCAGTGCCAACAACACGTGGTTTTCCACCAAAGCCCTTCAAAACACGGCGGCGAGCCCAGGGGGAAAGGAGAAAGAGAAAGCCTTCTCGGAAGGCTCGGAAGTCCTCCGGCCTTCCGAGAAAAATTCTAAGCCTTCCCCGAAGACACGGAACATTCCTTAGAAGGCGCGAGGGCTTCTGAGAAGTCCTGCCGCCTTCTGAGAAGGCCTTCTCCTTCTCACTTCCCCCCCTCGCTCGCCGCCGAAAGACGACGCCGGCGGTGAAACGAGGGCCGACACAAGCCGAGTGCTATGGGTAGGTGAGATACAGACAGTGGGCTCGGCGCGGTCGGGGCCACGGCGGGACGTTTGGTCGCTGACTGCGCCTGCTCCACACTGGGGTAACAGACTTCCTGCGAGGATCACCGAGTTTGGAGGCGGCCAGGGGGTCTGAGCTGATTGGGCCCGGAGAAGATCGGTCAGGACGGGGGGACGGAGACAAATCCGCTCAAAATCGGTCCCCCGACCCACCTCGCGTCTATCTGGTGTAGGCTTCCACCCCCGATCAATATCTTACGGTCCTGGGGCCTCAAAGCGGCACCCTCCTGGATGCCGGGACCAGTGCTGGGCCACCTCAGACGCCCAGCCGACAACTAAATGAGATGACATACGTCCTGAGGATCACCGATTCTCCCCCCCTCCGTGACGACAGGGGGGGGGGGAAAGAGATGGACCCATGGGCACCTGAGAGCACTGCAGTATATCCGCTGCTCGGAGGGCGCCCGGCCTCGTCCACGGCGACCGGCGGACAGGGGGGCAGACTCCGCCGTGGTGCTGAGCTGCAGAGAGAGAGCACACAGCGAGGCGTCGGGGGCCGCCAGCTGCCCCTGAGATCGGCAGCGTCCACAGAGGACTCCCAGATGGGGTCCGAATAGGTGGGGCCGGAAGATCGCGCCACATGGCCGATGCATCCGCGACGTCGGCGTAGAGAAAGCTGGGCTCTACATCGAGCCAGATCGCCGATGCATCAGTGATGCGGCACGATCCTCCGACCTCATCTACTCGGACCCCATCTGGGCGGCCTGCAGCCCAAGAAGAGGGCGTAGTCGTCTTCACCGGGTTTCGAGCCAGGTCCATCTGGCTCGGGCAATGCCGCAGCTGGATAGAGTTCTGGCTGTGATTTCTCACGGTGCGGCAGTGTTTCGCGACGTCGGATCTCAGGAGTCCACCTACGCCGACACCCAGCCAGGGCCGTCCCGAGCCCACGCAGGATCGGTGCATGCGCCCTCCTGATCCTGGCCCACTCTCGGCCCCGGCCAGGATCGGAATAAGATGAATGCCCGGCGGCCCCCGAGAAGTGGCGCCGGCCCAACCACACTGCTTTGTCGCAAGCGGATCGACAAGCAAGCTTCAAAAGCCGCGTGTTGGGGGGGGGGGCGCGACCCTGTCGGGGCGTAGCCGGCAGGGCGGTCTCGGGCGAGCCGCCCCAGTGGTGGAGGAGGGGAAGAACGGGGGCGGGGGTGGGAGGGCGCAGGTGGCAGGAAGGCAGCGAGGGGATGCGAGGAGGGGGGCAACGGTGGTGCACAGCGGGGGCCGTCCACTGACGCGGCAGGGAGCCGAGCAGTGAATGGCTGCGAAGCCTCACAAAATGACAGAGTGTGGCATGCTTGCGGACGAGCACAGAGGAGGACGAGGACGAGGACGAGGACGAGGAGGAAGACCAGAGTAAACCAAGGATGCATCACCGATGCTGCACTACACTTAGGTCGGGCATGTCCCCCCTACAGGGGGATTTCGGACGATTTTTTTTTAGTAACCCAACATGGCCAAAAAGTGCACAGAAAATCCTGCCCTGACTATTTTCTCACTATTCTTGGATTTCCCTCCTATAGAGGGACAGGCCCGACTTAACAATAGACCTCAAAGCCACGAGCTCGCAAGCCTGCCCGTTCAAGACTACCTACCAGACCACCCCAACCCAACCCGAAGACCCGAATTTCGGGTTTGGGGGGTATGGGCTCCATATGTGTTTTTGTCGACGTTCCCGGACCCCCCCCCACTGGGAGACGGAGGGCATAGTGAGGCCTTCGGGCTGGGCCGGGGCGGTCTGGTGGGCGGTGAGCTCACTGCGGGAGACGCGCTCCCCCCGTGCAGGGCCAGCGCTCCGTGGGCCTGCCATGCCGGCAAGATCCTCCCCCGCTCTGGGAAGGAGCCGTCCTGCGTCCTTCTGGGGCTCTGGCGCATAGCCTCAGGTCGGGCCTGTCCCCCCTACAGGGGAATGTTCGAGGAAACGTTAAACATAGTCCAACAACATTCAAGCATAGTCAAAAAATACTCGAAAAATCGTCCCCAGACTATTTTCACTATTTTGAATATTCCTCCTGTAGAGGACCCGGCCCGACTTAAGCATAGCCTGGAATGCGAAGGGGCATGATCACTCCCCAGGCAGTGCTTGCACTGAAGGGGTCCTTACGGAAATTGAAAAATTTGGCGAAAACGTCCCGCCGATTTTGGTGGCCGGCTGGGTTCCCGGGTTCCCAGTGCCGGGTTCCCGGGTTCCTGGTTATTGGTTCCGGGCCGATTTCGGTGGGTTCCGGGTTCCCGGGTTCCCGGTCGATCTCCTTATCGATCAAACCATCCACTGATTGGGGTTTTTCTCTGGTGTAATAAAATTATATTGGCGTCCAGCGAGATCTCGATCATGAACATGTTTACATTTCTAGCCATGAGCATCGAGGAAGTATCAAGCGAGTCCTGGAGCCTAAGGAAACTTCGAGCGACAGCCCCGTTTCGAAAAAGAACCGTCCTCTATCCTTGTAGCTGTTGCAAGCTTATACTCCATCCTTACAGCTGCTGCGATTTTTCAACACGAATGTGCGCGGATCTCAGGCGAGAGCCCCATTTCAAAAAATAATCGCCCTCCATCCCTGTACCTGCTGCAAGCTTGTCAAGTGAACGTGCGCAGCGTGCGGGCGAGAGCTCCATTTTGGGTCCCTCCCTCCCTCCATGCTTGCAACTGCCTCGAGTGTGGGCGGCGCTAGGGCGAGAACTCCATTTCAAAAAGTACCACCATTCCACCACTTGCAGCTGTTGCAAACTTTGAAGACGAATGTGCGCGGTGCCAAAGCGGAAATTCCATGTTGCAAACCCCCCTCCATCCGTGTAACTGTTGCTCATGTCAAGCTTCAGGACCATACATGATGATGACATCTCAGGCGAATTACCGACACGTCCAGGTGTGCGACAGGGAGGAATTATCTCTCAGGTCACGGCTGGAGGAGATGCAGAGGAGGAGGATGTGGAGAACTGAAAAAACATCTGTGAAGTGCCGGGAGGAGTTATCTATCAGGGCACGGCTGGAGGAGATGAGGAAGAGGAGAACTGACAAACATCTGTGAAACGCTGGGAGATTCCCAATGTTCCGAATAAGACGTAATTTGTGAGTCTGCGACAGGCGCTGCAGCGCACGGGAGGGCTTCCGGGGCGCAGCGCCGCGTGTGTGCTTCGTCTCGACGCCACGGTTCCAGAGCACGTGGCTGACCTCCCCCCCTGCTCCTCGTACACGGGGCGAACCTCCCACCCCTCACTGTCGCTGCACCGAGCGTTGGCCGTCAAGGCCTCGATAGTGCCACGCTCAAAAAGATCTGCATGCCACCCCAAGGGGCAGCGCCTTCACTGACTGTCGGTGTGCCGCGCGGCGTCGACGACAGGTCCAGGACTCCAGGATATTCGCGCAGTTTCGGGCTCGCCGCAGGAGATGCCGCCAATGCGGAGCACCGAAATCAGCGACGTCTCACCGCGGGTGCCACTGCTGCCCGTCCTTGGATCCTGGCCAGCGGGACCCCGACCATGATGACGAAGACCTGCTCGCCGCTGGAAACGCTCCTCACCAGTGCCAGGTGCAGCGTCGCCTTCCCCTCCTCCATGATGATCTGCATGCCACCTTGGAGGCGCAGCTCAAGGTCCCGCACGGCCGCCCCGCGGACCTTCATGCTGAGCTGCACGCCCCAGCGGAGGCTCAAGGCTCAACTCCAGATGCAGCCCGGAGTTTCCCTGGATGCTATAGGTAATCCAACGTGCGTTCGGCTCCACGGCCCTCGGATCTCGCATCTCGGCCTTCAGCTTGAAGAAGACTTGCGCGCCGACCCAGACCAAGATGCGCAGCGCCAAGTGAAGCGCCGATCTGCACCTGCGCGCGTCACCAGCTGCAACGCCGACTCCGTCTGGATCGCTCCTCTCAGCCGCTCGGCTCACCCGCGCGGGCGCTCCCTGCCGCGCGGGCGCACGCCGAGGGCTCGACGGCCACTACGCTGGAGTGCGCCGAGAAGCCAGCCTTCCCCAGCTCCTGCTGGCACCGGCGACATGGGCGGAAGCAGAGTGGGCACGATGCCCAAGAGTGAGAGGTGGGAATTTGTCCACAAGCACCGCCCGACGAGGTCCACTAAGAGCGATCCCCCACGTGGTCGTCATGGACACATCCCCGCCTCGGGAACAGCACATGCCGCCAAAGACCGGCAGCGGCCGCTGCTGGGCAGGCGACCTGATGCCTCAGACGGACGGCGCCCGCGGCGACACCGACAGCGAGCACTGCTCAGAACGGAAAGGACCTGCCGCCCGTTTCCGCCCGCACATATAAGGCAAGGACAGGACTGGAACAAAATCGGACCAGGACAGATCAGGGATCTTTGGGATCTGGCCGTTCTGGAGGATATATGATCTCAGGTCAAGGGTTCACCGCACGCCGCCCGCAACCTGGATGGGTGGGTCCCAGAGTCCCACAGGCGGGGGACGACAACGACGACGACGACGACGCCGACGACGACGACGGCGGCGGCGCGGCGGCGACGACGACGACGAAGACGACGGCGACGACGACGACGACGAAGTCGACGACGATTACGACGAATAAAACGACGACGAAAACGACGATGACGACGACGTCGAACTACTCCACACCCAGAGGGGGGGGGGATGCACCGGCACCCTCCACCACGCCACGCCCAGAGAGCCACGACCACAGGGTGGGGGAAGCGATCCCATTCGCGAGGCCTTCGCGAGGCTCACGGGCGTACCCAACCAGCGGAGGGGGGGGGCTCGATCCCGTATGCCATATGCCGCTATCATATGCCTTGAAGTTGGGGTGCGACCCTGGATCATGTATCGGGCGCCGCGGCCGTTTCAGAGCGCTTCAGACCAGTTTGAGGGCGTTCCGGAACGCTCTGGAACGATTTGCCCCGGTCCTGGCCCCGCCTGGCCTCTTCTCCCGAACCTTTCTCAATCGCACCAGTCCTGGCTCATCTCCGCCGCGAAGCCCGCCCACTCGTCGAAGCCGATGCCGCCGCCGCCCAGGTCTGGCGCGTGGGCGCGCGAGCGCATGCGGTCGGCCTTCTTGTCGAGGGCGCGCAGGGCGTCCGGAGCAGGCGGCCCTGGCGCCCCGGGCATGCCGTCATCGGACAGACGGGTGCTGACCGTCATCCAGTCCTCCACGCCTCCCATGGCGAACTCAGGCACGGAGAGCACCCGCGTGGAGTACGCGCCCCCCCGGCAGACGTGCCACAAGAAGAGGGGTGCGCCCGGCTTCAGCACGTTGTCCGCCACGACGACGGCGCCCTCGCTGAGCGCACGGCCCTCCTCGAGAGCCGCCAGGTCGGCCTCGTATCGAGACCCCCGCTGGTCCAAGAACGCGAAGTCTACGGCCAGCCTTGCCTCGTGGCTGGAGGCCTGGCAGCGCAGTCGCTCTGTGAGCCAGGGGAGCACGTCCTCGCTGTGGCCCGTGAGCACTTCCACGCGGTGGTGGAGGCCGGCGAACATGAGCACGTTTCTGGCAATGACGGCGTGCGCGGCGTCGACCTCCACGGTCACGACCTGCGGGAGGCCCCAGCGCCTGGCTGGTGGCCGAGCGGCCGCGAGGCGCGCAGACGAGTAGCCGCAGTACGTGCCAACCTCCAGAACGACGCCGCCGCTGGGAGCGAGAAGGGCCGCGTCGGCCAGCACCTGCGCCTTCGCGCCCCCCGCCACCTTCAGCCACTGGCTCGAGCCTGGCAGCGCCTCCTGGCCAAACCCCTCCACGGCGGCGCAGACGGAGCCCACGTCCCCTGCGCTGGCGGTGCCGAGGACGTGGGCCAGGAGCCGCAGCTCCTTCGCGTACGCCTCCCCCCGCGCTGGGCCCGAGCCGCCGGCCGATGGCACGAACTCGCCCGGAGCCCCACCGCAGGCGGCCCAGACGCGCGAGCAGGCGGCGTTAAAAGCGCCCCTCTCACCCAGCGCGCGGAGAACGCGCAGCGCGGCGCGGGGCTCCCCAGCCTCGCACAGCAGCGCCGCCGCCACGGCGCCGGCGGCGGCCGCGAGCCCGCCGCGCACGAGGTGCTCCTCCAGCAGCCAGGCCTCGCGCAGCCGCCACGCCTGCCGCTGGCAGGCGGCCACGGCGCCCCCAAGGCTGAGGCCGTGCAGCCGCCGGCCGGTGGACCCCCAGGCCGCCAGCAGCCCCCAGGCCTGCTCCAGGTCGGGCAGGAAGCAGAGCGCCCAGAGCACCATGCCCACGTACGGCTCCTCCACCGTCGCGTGCGCGGGGCCGCCAGCGCGCGGCGCCAGGCTGGCGGCTGCGTGAGACGCGACGGCGTGGAGCAGCGGCCGGTGCAGGCAGCGCAGGCGCGAGAACGCCCAGGCTAGGCTGGCGTGGCCCTGCATCACGAACGCGCCAGGGCTCCTCCTCAGCGCCTCGGCCGCGATGGCGTTCAGCAGCGGCGCGTCCTGCCGGCGCAGGGTGGCGAAGGCCCAGGCGGTATTCACCAGGTGCTGCGGCTCGAACTCGGGGACGCGCTCCGTCACAGCGGTGGCCCCCGCCTCGAGCAAAGGGACGTGCGCCTCCCTCAGCACAGCGAACGCCCACGACAGGTTGGAGTGGTCCTGTGGCACGAACTTCGGCAGCAGAGCCATGGACGCGGTGGCGATGGCCTGCTGCAGTCGTGGGTCCTCGAACAGCAGGTGTGCGCACGACCAAGCGAGGTTGGCCAGCTCCTGCGGCTTCGCCGTGCCGATGATCCGCATCGCCTGAGCAGCCAGAGACTCAAACAGCGGCGGGTGGTGCCAGCGAAGGGTAGCGAACGCCCAGGCGAGGTTGGAGAGACCCCGGCAGTGGAACTCAGCGCACTTCGCTACCGCAGCCGACGACAGAGCCTCAAGGAGCGGGTCGTGGCACCACTCCAGCTGCGCGATGGCCCACGCCGTGCTGCCCAGGTGCTGCGGGCTGCACTCCAGCTAAGTTGGTATGGAGGCAGCCGACAGCGCATGCAGCAGGGGACCGTCCTCCCAGCGCAGCGCTGCGAAGGCCCACGTCGTGTTGGCCACGTCCTGTGGCCCGAACTGCTCAATTCGCTTTATGGCCGAGGAGGAGATGGCCTCCAGCAGCGGCTGGAGACGCACCTGCAAGCGTGCCAGCGCCCACGCCGTATTCGCCAGGGCCTGTGGCGTGGCGTCGTCCTGGCGGGCAGACCGCGCGAGGAGGTCAAGCATGCGCGAGCCCAGGGCCGCGCTAGACCCCGACGCCTTGGCGATGCGGTGGACGGCGGTCACGACGTTGACGGAGTTGAACTCGCTGACCCGCTGATCGCAGTACCTGAAGGCCTCCCAAATGGGGTCCGAGTAGATGGAGTCGGGAGATCGCGCCGACGACACGGATTCATCGGCGACGTCGGCGATGTATCGGCGCCATCGGCGTGGCTCCAATTCGAGCGGCATCGTCGATGCACCGGCGATGCGGCGCTGTCCTCAGACCCTGTCTGCTCCGACCCCCTCTGGGAGACCCAAGACGGGGCTAGGACGAGGCTAATCCGTTCAAGAGCCTTCCAAAACCCTTTCAAAGCGTTCCGGAACGCTCTGAGAAAGACGCGGCGCCCAACACATCCTCCGCAGAGTCGCCGGACCTCAGAGATTCTCGTTTTGTCCTCATCCGAATTTATCATCGTCCTGACTTCGTCTTAATGCCTGCGAGCACCTCAGGAGCTCCTGCGCGCCCGACAGCCGGGTCACCTCACGGTTGATGCGCACGTGGGCGGCGAGCCCACCGCCAGCCCCCCCGCCGCCCTGCCGCGGCCGCTGCGGCGCCGCCGCACACCTGGGGGGCAACAGTGGGGGGGGGGCCTGGCTCAGGGGGAAACATGAGACGAAGCCAGGACGAAGACAAAATCGGATGACGATACATCGAGTCCCTGAGATCTGGCGGCTCCGGAGGATGTTTCGAGTGCCGCGACCTTCTCAGAGCGTTCCGGAGCTCTGGACCGCTCTGGAACGGATGGTTCCTCGCCCTAGCCTCGTCCGACTGGAGTCGGCGACACGTCGCCGATAGATCAGCGACAGGCCCCCGACGGCGAATATGCTGACTCCTGGGCGGGGTGAGGCTACCAGAAACCTATCGGCAATCAGTGGGCGATTGGGGGCCAATGCGTTCCCCCCCCTTCGCTTCGGGGATCCACTGACCCTGGTCAACGTAAGCATGGGTCAGTCGTGCTTTGCAGGATCCTGCAGGATACTGCCCGCTAGCCTGGGTCCATGCACCCCTGGCTCTGCAGGATCCTGGAAGATCCGGCGCTTTGGCGGACCCCGTTAGCATTGGCCCCCGTCTCAAAATGGGAAACTAAAAGGTCCCGACGCAACTACTCCCTGGACTTCTCCTGGAGTGCGCTCGGACCAACGGTGCCGACAAGGCCTTCCAGGAGGCCCAACAAGGGGGAACAAAACGAGGGAAGGGCAGAGCGGTAATCCCACCTGCCCTCTGGGCGTAGGTGGTCTAGGAAGGCTCCTCTTCCAACCCCCTTCTTCCCCTTCGGGGAGGGGTTTACCCCTCACCCCGCCCCCTCCCTTGGACCTAGACGGGCGGTGCCGCGACCCATTGGAGCGTCCGAATCGGCCTCTGCGAGGAAGCCAAAATCATTGGTTTGACTGCGGTTTTGGCCCCACGTTGGCCTCGTATGGGGGCGAGGCCAAATGCTATCTCTTCCCTTATCTGATCGATGGCTTCCAAAATGGCCCCAAGAGGCGCTCAGGAGGCCCCAAGAGGCCCCAATATGGCCCCAAAAGGCCCCCAAAGGCCCCGAAGAGGACCCCAAGCGGCCCCAAGAGGCCCCCCCGAGGCACCCAAGACGCCCAAGAGGCCCCCAGGACCCCCGAGAAACCCCTAAGACGTCCCAAAAAGCCTCCAAGAAACGCCCAAAAGATACCCCAAGAGGCTCCGAGAGGCATCCAAGAGACCTCTGGCCCTTTTGCTAGCCCTCCTCCTCCTGCTCCTCCTGCCTCATCCTCTTCCTCCTATGTCTCTTCCTCCTCCCCCTCCTCCTCCTCCTCCTCCTTTTCCTCATCATCATCACCATCATCACCAGCATCATCAGCAATACCATCACCATAATCCTCATCATCATCATCATCATCATCATCATCATCATCATCATCATCATCATCATCATCATCATCATCATCATCATCAGCATAAGCATCATCTTCACCACCACTATCACCATCACCATCACCACCATCATCATAATCATCCTCATCATCTTCATCAGCATCATCATCATCACCATCATCATCATATTCGTACTCCTTCTCCCCACTCCCTCATCCATCCAGCCTCCTCCTTTGCCTCCCTCCTTCGCACGGTTCGGCCGTCCACCTGTTTGCTCCCGCATTTCCCTGATCACCTGCATTCGCCTGGACATTGTTTCTGCGTGGGCTGGTGGGGGTATTTTTTGGCACGCGGGCGCGCGAAGCGGGTGGACGAACGCTGGGCGAGCAGGGGCAGGCAGCGCCACCGGCGAAGGGAAAAGCAAAGAAACGAGCAACGCCATGCACTGAGCGAGACGGAGCTCAGCGCAGCCAAGATGGCGCGAACGGCACCACGCGACACCGGGAACACGTCCAGACGGGTGCCGAACTGGATGCAATACAACGGAAGAACGACCCCACGGCGACGATGGATGAGTGCCACACTTGCCCAATACGGCGGCCGGCGGGATATTTGTTTTTATCGCGACCGCGAGCGGGCACCCGCGCGGCGTCGGAAAAGGTCGAGCTACGAGCGGAGGCCGAAGGTCACAGCGCAACTGTCGCCGGACAGACGCGGGGAAAAAGGGGCCACTACACAACGCAGCGGCCGCGCGAAAGCGGCGAAAAGGAAGTCGGGCAAGAGAGAGCGACGCGAGCGAAGAAGAAAGCGGAGAAAGAAAGAGGAAGACGAAAGAAGCGAGAAGTAGGAAAAGCACACGCCGCAGCTCAGGGGTAAAGGACCGAGTGGGCGATCACGACGGGTCCAGCGGTGGACCTCGTCCGTAAGTAGATCGCGCTCGCTCCATCCGCATTTTGTAAGCCAATTCGCCAGGGGGTCTGTGGGCCGAAGGCCTTCGTTCCTCCTGGCCGCAGCGCCCAAAATTGCACTGGGGCCAAGGGATGCGCGTTGTTTGAGCCAGCGTGTCCACCAGTCCCGGAGGGCTCCAGACAGCGCGTGCCTCCCAAGCATCATCAAGGCAGGAATGAGAGGGGGGGGATACTCCCCGACGGAGAGGGCCACGGGGGGGTCACGCGTGGCGGGTTCAATGTCGCCATGGTCGTTGTCCGTGTGAGCGCCAGGGAGGGCCCGTGGAGCCGCCGGGCGTATCCAGCCAGCTGGTTGTAGTCTGTCGGCCAGGTCCACACTCGGTACTCCGAAAGTGCGTTCTAGGAAAGTGTAGGTACGTCGCAGTTTGTCATGCGCCGCCGCGGGGAGGGACCGGTATCTGGCGGCGGCGAGGGTGTTCTGACGACGCGTACGTGCGCTCCCATCGGGGTCGGAGTAGAAGATGGCATGATCCGGGAGAGAGGGCTTCCAGGCTTTGCGCACGGTGTACGCGACCACCAGTGAGAGCGGGCAGGCGACGATGTCGATCTGGGCTTCGTTCTCCTTGTCCACCCTTGTGAGTCCTTCCATTGGGGCGGCAATGGCGTCTTGCCGGTCGAGCAACCGGGTCAAGGCTGAGGCGTCCTCTACTTCTACTTCCCTAGGGCAAGAGAATTGGAGGTTCACATCTCCCCCCCAGAAGGTGGGGGCTGCGTCCCAGTCCTCAGTCGCCTCCTCGAGGGCACGCAGCGTCTCTACTTGGCGGCCGGGGGGTAAGTACACGGAGACAAGCCGTACGCTCACTCCTCCAATTTGAATTGTGGCGAACACCGCGCACCCGGGAACCAGGGTGCCCGAGCGGGAGAGGGAAAGCCCGTGAGGGAGGACAATGGCGATACCTCCTGCGAGGCCTCCTCCCGGGCCATTGTATGCGTGTGAGACAATGAGAGTCTGTGCGGGGAACATCGTGCTCCAGACAGACGCTACATGTTCAGACCAGTGGGCTTCTTGCAGTAAGGCGCGCCGGCCGTTGGCCGAGATCTACGTGACGATCGCGTGCTTCATCTGGTTTATGTGAGCGGTGGTGCTGCGGAGGTATCGAACGTTCCAAGAGGCGATCTTCGGCCGGCCGGGTGAACGGAAAAGGCCAGCCTGGCGCATACGTCCTCAATGGAAAAGTCGAGGCAAAGGTCTTGCCACGTGGGGTTGTGCCAGTGGGTGCTGTGCATGAGAGCCCAGAGAGCACGTGGGGCGTTAACCGGGGGAGCGTGCCTCTTGGCGAGGAAGGGGTTGAGGTGCTGGATGGCGGTCTTCCGCCTCCAAAGGGAACGTGAGGGGACAAGAAGGGATGGCGGAGGGGAGCCCAGGGCCTGGAGGAGCGTCCTGGAGTCAGTGAGGGACTCTAGGGGTGTGACGGCCTTTGGGGGTTATGTGGTCTTGGTAAGCTCCCGGCGTCTAGCGGTCTTGGTTAGTGAGGGAGTCTAGGGGTGTGACGGCCTCTGGCTGGTGGGGATACTTTTTTTTGATTCGCGGCCCGCAAGGAAAAGTCCAGAGGGAGGTGTGAAGCTGGTGGGGATACGCGAAGCGTCTAGAGGTGTGGGTACTTCCTCCTCTGGAGATCGCTGCCCCTGAGCACCCCCGGCCCAGGGGCCGCGATGCCGCTGCGACCGCGCCGCCTCCGCGCCCGCCCGCCTGCGCGCGCGCGGGCACTGCGGCCGTCGCCGCCATGGTGCCCGCGAGGCGCCCGCGCGGAGGGGCGCCCGCGGCGGAGGCCGCAAGTGCTGACTCGGCTGCGGTTCGGCCCTGCCTCAGCCCGTGCGCGACGCGGGCAAGAGGGCGCCGACCAGGGCAAACCTGCGCCGACCCTGAGATCCTGGCGACTCAATTTTGTCGAGACGTGCGTGCTCGCATTATTTCGGGCCCCGGGACCCTCACAGATCGATCCGGCTCGAAAAAAATGGCGCAAAAAGATCAGGCCTAGGGCTCCAGGCTCTATTTGTCACGGCGTATCAATTTTTTGAGACGTCGGATCTCAGGGGATCCTGGGCCGAGCTCGGTGGCAGCTAATAAGATCCCCCCACTCCGGCTTGTCGGCTCTTGCGAATCAGCGCGAATCGACGCCAAATCGACGCGAATCGACGCTGAATCGACGCCAGTCGGCGCTAACCGACGCTAGATCGGGGCTGCATCATCGACTCCCAAACGCTCATCAACGCTAATCGACGCTAAAGATGTAATTGAGAGGGTATACCAGGCTCCCACGATTTGCTACCGAAGGCAAGGATCGGTGCTAGGGCATCTGTCTTCGTGCTTCGTGACTGCCC